CAGCAATTTCACTCTATATATTCAAAATCCAGTGTGAAAAAAATCTTTTAAAACAGACTGGGCCATACTGTCCTGAAGTTTGCTTGGCAAGGCAGAAGGGGCAGACCACAAGGAAACTGGGTATGGCTGCGTCATCTTCTGTCCTGCATTACCTCAGCTCAGCTTTGGAGCAGGTTCACAGAGGCTCCAACCCTCTCTCATGACACCTGGCAAAACGCTTCCAACCCTCTGACAACTGGCAAAACTCATCCATGCTCCAGCCAGACCCAGTTCTTTTCCGAGCTGCACCTCCAGTGGGCTGACAAGGAGAACCCTTAGCAGCTCACTGATCAGAGCCAGGGGCAGACTTGCAGCATTACCAGCGTAGTATTGAGGAACTATGGAGTAAAAGCTCACTCCAAAAATATTTCAAAATCAGCATCTATTTCCATTTCAGTTTTATGCACTCTGCAGGTAAAATAAGAGTTGAACAAACATGCTCAAAACAGAAACCTAATCTTGTTAAGCAATAGCATAGTTATAAAACTTTGATTTTATTGCTTGCACAACTACTATACTACTATCTTATATATCATCAGAGCATGTCAGCAAAAGTATGGTGAGAAACTGTGTCTTAAATCCTCAAGTTAATCCCTGTTTGTTCTTTACAGTATATAAGAAGAGTGGAAGATCTTGTGTCATCATTTCATTCTTTGTCTTGCAGTACTGAGGTCTGATGAAGCCACAGTGTGTGTGTGTGTGTGTGTGTGTGTATAAACATATTTTCCTCAGTCCCTGCCAGAACCATGCAGTTGTCCTGGCATTGTTAGGTCCTACAGCTACACATCCTGCTGTTTCCAGTACAGCCCTCCATGTGAGAAGGACTGGGTGCACTTGTTTCTCAGCTGGTTGTTTGACTCTTGAAAAAAGGAACCTGTGCAAGGGCAGTGATTTAGCCTGTGCCTTCAGCTAAATTTGGGACTTAAAAAGATTTCTCTCCTTTCAGTGCTGGTAAATAGTACGTGAAGGCAAAGGCTATTCCAACATAATATTTGCTAATCTACTTAAAGCAGAGTTTCTGGGAAACAGTAGTCACATGAGACTATCAATTAAAAAGAAAAATTTCCAAATTTATACATAGAATTGACCTAAGTATACTGTGAAAGAGCCAGAAAATAAAACATGCCAAAACTATTTTTGAAGTTACAGTCTTTAAGCCAGTCTCGTAGCTTTATGAGCCTGCCTGACAGACATAAAATGTTTAGGCATAGTGGGATTGTGAAGAAGGAAAAGGTGGGTTTTTTTCATTAACCGTTAAATTCACAAGGGAAAACATTAGATGTGTTTTTCTGTTTTAGCAAATCTGGAAAGCACCACCATCATTATAGGCCTAGCTCAGGAGGTAATTGTAACATATAAGGTGATCATTCACTATGATGACACGGATTAAAAAGAGCTTTGTGAGTGTAATAGATAACATCTGCACATGACTCTAAACTCGTCAGTGGGCTTACGAAATTAATTTCCTCCATGAGAAGCATGCCTGTTTTACACGCATCTGTACAGAGCTCCTTCTTTTCCCTGCCCCTCCACCCTCAAAGGAAAGGAGCAAAACCTTTACTATTGTGGCTGTAGAGAAATTGTTTTCCTGCATAACGTTTTATAAATATTGTCGTGATTTCACTGCTCAAGAGACATTATTATAGGAATGGAAACACTCTCACCTGATTAAGGTTTACCTTGTTTTCTCACCTGATTAAGGTTTACCTTGTTTTCTAGAAGTGCAGCAACAATGTCAACACTGAAGAATAAAAAAATCTGAAGATTGTTTCAAACTGTAGCTAAATATAAGTTTGTGAGATATTTAATGGAACTTGGAAACCACTTAATTTTTCTCCCCAGTGTAATAATCCTCAGGATCTTCATATTGTTACTAAAAGAACAGCCACACCTGTCAGTATATTTCTTCAAAAGTCAAAGCTATATCTAAGTACGTGTAGTCAAAGAATACAAAGCCAAATAGTTGCTTTCTGCTTTTCTTGAGAGGACAGGAACACAATCATTTCCTGTTACTTAATTGTCTCCAACTTCTGCTTACAGAATTTCCAATGCAAAGTAATTGTAAAACTTGATGACTACAATGTTTTAGAATTTAATAAAGATACATGCTTTAATGGGTTTCTTTACTCAGCCATCATTTTTATAATTGAAATAAAAAAACCTTAATTCATCCTATGAGTTTGCTCATTTGATCATCCATGATTAAGATGAGTAAAACGTTCCCGAAGAAGCAATTCAGCACAAGCTGCCCACACACTTCTGAAGGAATGAATGAATAGAGGGGAAAAAAAAAAAAAGATCAATCAGAAACTGGCAAGGAATCCTGCCCTTGGACAGCCATTGGAGTCTTGCATCCCTAAACCTGCATTCTTAAGTGATTTCATCTGTCCACAAGGGTTTATTTATCACTTACTTTTGACAACTTTCAGTCACATTTGTCCATGCTGATCCTTTTTCCTCCATTTAATTGTGCGTCCTTTAGAGGTTCTCAGACTTATTCTGGGTTGATTCACCACCTTTTAGCATTTGGCTTGACCAAAATGGATTTTATTGTTCTGCAATCACGCTCTTCACTTTCCCTTCCTCTGTTACAGTGGATAACACCATCTCTTCTCTGTCACCAAGGCTCAAAACCATGGTAAGGTCAGTTTTGACTGTTCATTCCTCTGCTTAATTGTTAAATAGCTTTTTTCCCATACAACTCTATTCCTTCCTTTTTAGTCAAAGATTTCAACTTTTCTTCCGTATCTTTTCCTCCCCCCCCTCTTCTTGGGTCTTTTTTCCTGGTTTCCCCTTCAAAGTGCTTGCTGCCAAAACTACCAATCACCTTCATTTCTTCCTTTTCTTCTACAGATGAAGTGGAAATCATGATCATCTAAAACTCTGGGTATTGCACACTTAAATAACAGAACGTTGAAGATAGGCAGCAAAAATCAACTAAAGCAATAATACCTCTTTCTATGTTTTCTCAGATACTTTAAGAACTGTTCAAGTGTCGTCTTATCAAGGGGAGGATGAGGGGAGAAAAGTACCAAGCTCTTTCTTCCAAAGACGGAAGTTTAGGTACATAATGGTTTACATCCTTCTAACAGAGACTGCAATAACACCCATATGCATGCACACCATACCATTCACCATATAAACTGCATGATGTACGTGGCATATTAATGTTTCTATGCTCACTGTAACCAACTGCAATTTCATCTTGCAAGTTAATTCTGTGTAATTGTCTGTAGGTTGTGAATTAGCCTTTCTCACCTGAAAACCAGAGTTTCTTTCTCTATTGGCCCATGGAAACTGGCACAGTTTCCATGATGCACTCAACCAGCCTTCAGAGCAGGACAACAAATAGGCATCAAATCCACATGAGAAAAACCAGGATAGCACCATTGCACTCGCCTTCGTTAAACGTTACTGTAACATGTGACATGTCTGTCCTTTTCAACCTGCCCAACCTGGGCTAATATAAGCAAATACATTCTCTGAATCCCGTTCTCTTTCTACACTTCAGAGCTCTGTGCTGTATCCAGCAAGCCCCCAGATGGCCACTTTAATTGCCCCAAAACCTGACAAGATCCATTGCAGATGGTTTTCTAGCCAAAGAGGTATGCCTTGTCACTTCCCAGCTTCCCTCCTGGTTCCCCTGTTGTGCCCACAGCTCTTACCTCCTCTCTGTACTCCCAGAGCAATGTCCTTTGCTGCGTTTGAGTTCTTGGCTACCTGCCTTCTGTGCAACATCTGCTTTTGTTCCATGTGCTTTCAGGTCAGTACCGCCACATTTGAAGCAGAATGCCCTATCACAGAAACTTACTGAGAGTTAGGTATTTGATGGTTAAATTGTAAAGTACGTGACTACAGCCAATTTACATAACTGATAAATTCCTTATCAGTTTAGACCTTATTAGCTTTCCTAAGCATCTATGTAGAGATATTGAGCTGAATTCTACAAAAAGGACATCTCAAGTTGGAAACACATGACATAGAAATTTTAACAGGCCAGGAATGCTTCTGTTATGCCTAAAATTGCTTGTGAAACAGTAGTAATGGAATAACAAAACCTGTGCAAGTGGAAACAAATCTGGATTTGTTTATGAAGTGTTTTAGCAGGAATGTCACATGGCACAGCAGCATTGCTCTCTGACCTCTGTGATAAACAGATCTCAGTCTCTTCTGTAACTCAGACCCTTTTGCTGAGGGATCATCCCACCGAATAACAAGATCCTTACACGTTACGTTAAGGATGTGATCTCCTTGCGGCTCGGTCACACAGACTGGGGACGTTCCCTTCCATGCTCAGCTGCCTGTGAGCACAGACACGCGAGGTCCTTTCCCGCTGCAGTTCTTCGGCACCGCTGGCGGCTGGGCCAGCGAGCCGTGGACAGGCTGCACAGCACAGGGAACCACAGGCATGACATGTGAAGTTGCCACCCACCCAGCTACTATTAGAAATCCGTAAAGTACAGATTTGCCAGTGGGAATCACAGCGGGATTTGTTGGCTCAAGGCTCCGCAGACCCGAAAGGGCTCTGGGAAAGGACAGCTAAAAAACTGTGGATTTTAGACTCCACTGAGACTTTACGAGGAGCGAAGAATTGCCGGTTACTTTTCTTGGTTGCCAGAGGTCAGCGCGTAGAGCGCACAGTCATCCAGCGGTGGGTTTCAACACTCCATAAACCCGAAGGGACCAATTTATTAGTATTCCAGGAAAAAAAAGGAAAGGGAACAAAAAAAAAAAAAAAAAAAAAAAAAAAAAAAAAAAAAAAAAAAAAAAAAAAAAAAAAAAAAAAAAAAAAAAAAAAAAAAAAAAAAAAAAAAAAAAAAAAAAAAAAAAAAAAAAAAAAAAAAAAAAGGAGAAGTAACAACTAAAAAAAAAGGCAGAGCCCGCCTGACGCGGCGGGCGGAGCCCCCGCGGGCCAATGCTGGGGCGAGGGGCGGTGCAGGAGGAAGCGGCGGCTCGGGCCGATGCTGGCGGCGGCGGCGGACCGGGGGCACCGCCCGGGCTCGGCCGCGGGCGGCGGCTCCTGGCTCCTGCCGCTGGCGGCGGCGCTGGCGCTGGGGCTGCTGCTCACGCTGGTGGTGCGGCAGCTGCTGAAGCAGCGGCGGCCGCCCGGCTTCCCGCCCGGCCCCGCGGGGCTGCCGCTCCTCGGCAACATCCCCGCGCTGGGCGCGGAGCAGCCGCACATCTACATGCGGCGGCAGAGCCAGATCCACGGGCAGGTACCGCCGCTCCCGCCGCCTCCTCCTCGGGGCCCCCGGAGCGGGAGAAGGGCGGGATGGGGCGGGGCGGGCTGCGGAGCCCGGGGAGGAGCGGCCGGGAGGGCCGTGCCCCGGAGCTGTCCCGGAGCGGCCCCGAGCGACTCTCGCTGCCGGTGTGTCCGGGCGGGGGGCGGAGCCGGGACCCGTCCCGTGGGAGCGGGGACAGGATCGCGGCAAACGAGAAGAGTTTACACCTCTCTCTCACGCCGCAGCTCCCTCCTTAAGCTCCAGCTCTTAATTCTTACTTTTTGTGGGTTTTTGTTTGTTTGTTTGTTTGTTTTGGGTGCAGTGAAAATGGAAATAACTCCCTTGTTTCATATCCACAAGTCCTGGGCTTAAAATTAACAAAATTACAACAGTGAAAGAGCAGGCGCTGGGATAAGGCAACATTTTCACTGAGAACACCTTCCTTCAAAGGACTTCCAGTATACTTTCAATGTACCTTCAGTGGTATATTTGGGATACTTACATTTAGTGTTACTATGTAAGAATGGATTTATTTTATTTTTGTACTTTCTTACAGGTCAGGTTTTTCTTTTCATCAGCACTGTATTCTTACAAGGATCATAAAAGTTAAAACTAGATCTAAAGGGGAAAGGCAGGCATGTGTTTTGGCAGTAGAAAAGTAAGTAAATGTGTTTCAAGAAAACACCAGGACAAGCAGAATGGAAATAGGAAGGAAAACATGTCATCAAATAAAGTAAACTTTCTACTTGCCTGGAATGCTGCATGTAGTTCTAGTCACATGCTGTCAGAAAAGATCCTGCAAAATTTGGAGGAACTTGAAAACGGCCTGTTGGGATTTGGGGTGCTCTGGAAAAATACAATAAAAGAATTTTTAAAATGATATATGACATATGAATTAAGATAAATAAGCTAGATCAAAATATACAAAACTCACAAGTGATATACAGAAATCTATTGGGAATATGTTCTTCATACATAAAAAAGAAGAGCCATTATAACAGTGAAAATATCAAGTTCGCTAAAATAAAATACTCATAGAATCAGTTAGGTTGAAAAAGACCCCTAAGATCGTTGGGTCCAACCATTAACCTCACATGAAGCCCACTACTAAACTCTGACCCCAAGTGCCACATCTACACAGCTTTTAAAAATCTCTAGGGATTGTGAATCCACCACTTTCCTGGACAGCCTATTCCAGTGCCTGACAACCCTTTTTGGGGACAACCCAGTTGTTGCAGAATGTATAATTAGACTAATATAATTTCTTGTTGTGGAGGTCAACAGCTTTGAGATGAAGAAAAATACAGAGATTTCTATAGGTAAAAATACAGACTTATAATGCTAAGGAAAGTATGGAAAGGGACATAAGATTTCAATCTTGAGTTTAGCCTTGGTTTTAATTTTTAAAACTTAGGTTAAGATTTTCATTTTGTTTATCCTGCAGAAGTTTATACCTTCTGCAGGCTGTACTGCATCTTTTTCCGAAGCATCTAGTGCTAACCACTGGTGGAAACAGGAGATGGGCCTCGCTGGGCTGTGCTGTCAGTTGTTGTCTCTCCTCATGGCTCTCACTGCTATCATCTACCGGTTCTTTGGGAGCCTGTGCAAAGTAAGCTGGTGTCTGGGTTCAGACCTAGAAAGGACTGAGAGCAGCCTGGTTGTTCTCACAACTGACACCACATTCTGTGTCTGCCATTATTAAGTGACATGTTGAGAGTCTTTGTGATAGGAACTTCAGCCATACTGCCCTTGACCAAATTAAGTTGGAATTTACCTTGACTCAAGTAGGGGAGAGAAGCAGATACAGTAATACAGCTTTTCTCCCTCCTGTGGAAATAGTCTCAGCAAATTAAGAAAGTAGACTTTATTTATTAAGAAAGTGTACTTTATTTCCAATGCTTATTAAAAAAAATTATATACATAAAGTATATAACGTAGCATTATTACATAAGTATATACTTCTACTATTACCTACTTACATCTCCTAATGCTAGGAGATAGTACAATTTTTTTTTTCCAAAAAATATGCATCGTTGTACTAAATTCACTTTTTTTAATGACTGTGAAAGTGTCCCAGTCCTTACTTTGGAGAACTGGTTACTCTGGGTGCACAGCAAAGCACAACATGTAGTGTGGGATAATTTGCTTTATCTTTTGACAGAGCAAGTTATCTCAACAGACTCTACTGTAATGCCACAACTGTACCACCTCTGGTTACCTGTATGCCCTACTGAAGGTTATTCAAGTGTTTTGCATTGTTTAGTGTTGTTTCACTTTTTCATCACTTGTTCTCATTATTTGCTCCTAGGATTGGGTTGTAATAGTGTTTTACAATTTTTACTGGTTTTTTCCCCCAAAGATCTTCAGTCTTGATCTCGGAGGTATATCTGCTGTTGTACTGAATGGCTATGATGCAGTGAAAGAATGCCTTGTTCATCAGAGTGAAATCTTTGCAGATAGGCCGTCTCTTCCCTTGTTTAAGAAGCTGACAAACATGGGAGGTGAGTGATAATTTCTTCTGTATAACAATGTAATTTTTGTCCAATAGATGGACATGATCACATGAAACGTTGGCTTTAGCCATTTTCTCTACTTAATCTTCTTTCATAAAATGCGTGATGCTTCTTAAAAAATTTTGTTTGGAAATGATTGTCACTCCGGGACTACATTCCACGGAAAAAAATTTTTTTGTCTCTCTTTTTGTCTTGTTAAATGATTTTATTTTCTTATGGGGGAAAAAAAATAAAGCGTTGCATAAAATACGTGTCAAAATATTTTTTCAGGCTTACTGAACAGTAAATATGGCAGAGGATGGACAGAACATCGCAAATTAGCTGTAAATACCTTTCGAATTTTTGGATATGGTCAAAGGTCCTTTGAACACAAAATTTCAGAAGAATCTGTGTTTTTTCTTGATGCCATTGATACATACAAAGGCAGACCGTTTGATCTTAAGCACTTGATAACAAATGCTGTTTCAAACATTACTAATTTGATTATTTTTGGAGAACGTTTTACTTATGAAGATACCGAATTTCAGCACATGATTGAGATTTTTAGTGAAAACATTGAATTAGCTGCTAGTGCTTCCGTGTTTTTATATAATGCTTTTCCTTGGATTGGTATCTTACCATTTGGGAAACACCAGCAGCTGTTTAGAAATGCAGCTGAAGTCTATGACTTTCTTCATGATCTCATTGAACGTGTCTCTGAAAATAGGAAGCCTCAGTCACCTCGACATTTTGTAGATGCATATTTAGATGAGATGGATTGCACTGAAAACGATCCAGAATCTACATATTCAAGAGAAAATTTAATTTTCTCTGTTGGAGAACTCATCATAGCTGGGACAGAAACCACAACAAACGTTTTAAGATGGGCAGTGTTATTTATGGCTCTTTATCCGAACATTCAAGGTAAGAAATTTGACATTTTGAGGAACTGATCCCCTTTCCTATTGCAAATTTAGAATGCTTTTTCAAAGTCATGCAGTGATCCATAGTCGTAACCAAAAGGAATGTTTGTGTGTATTAGTCTATTGTATCATTTACCAGACATACAATGGGAAGAGGTGAAAAATTTGTTTTATATGCAGAAAAAGAGGATATCAAAAGTCAAGCATCACAACAAATTTTAACATATTACATTATGAATACATTTTTATGAAGCTTTAATATTTTTAAGTATTTCTAATGTATTTAAATTTAGCGTTGTGATGCATGGTCCGTTGTTGGCAGATATACTAACCTATGCTGTTAATAAATAATAAGAAAGTGCAATTAAATATGAAAGTAATAAACTAAATTAAAAATGCACAAACATCAGCAAAATGTAAATCAGGTTGTGGTTAGTTTAGGTACAATTTCTTTTTATCTGAAGTGCCTCAGTTCATGATAAATTTACTTGTTATAGACATTCATATTTAGAGAATGGCATTTAAAAACAAAAAAGATGTGTTACATTCACTCTGAAGTGAGACAGCAATAGATGTCTGAATGTCAGCCCAGACATTTTGTGTAGAAGTTTGGATTTTAGAAGTGAACAGTGATGTCTCTAATTTCACTGCCTCCACTTCACTTGTCCTGTCCAGCCCTTAGCAGTGCTTGGTTCAATTAGGGACTTCCAGTATTTGGAGGAAGAGCAGCCAAGACAACTTGGACAGTTACTGCTGATACTTTGACCAAAAATCATTGCTCTAACATCAATTTGGTCACCATTTCAGAGTGGGGACAATAACACTACCTCTAGCTGAAAGGCTTTTGAGCTCTCAAGTTCTGCATAGGAACTAGATATCTTTATGCTATGCACTGACTGATTTTATAGAGATCCACTCACCTGAAATAATCTTCTGATCTCAGATCTTGCAATACAATGAGTTTCTGAATTTGGATTAAAAAACAGTTCATCTAGATAAAAATAAAAATTACTCTTATTTTTTATTTAGATAGAATTCCTTTGTTCAGCTGTTACAATATGCACCGACACACCACTACATCACAAGTGCTTTCACTAAGCTGCTTTTCATCTCTTTATTTTGACCTGAAACGTTGTCACTTCGGGTTGAAAAACCTGGTGATTCTGGAACAATTTTTCAGCTACTGCCCAGATTTTCATTATTGGTTCCACATGAATTGTAAAAGTCCAGATTTGTTTTAGTTAGGAGTTGTTTGCCAGTTTCAACAAAGAAAGTGCATCAGAAAGAGGCAGTTTAAATACCTTTGAGTTTATTTCAATAACACGTGAACTTAATTTTAAAAATAGCTAAAAAAGCCCAGTGATTGAATTTGTTCCTTTTCAGTTAAATTCTGGCTCCTGTGCCTGGTAATTCTCACTGTGTTTTTTAGATATTTTAGGTTCAAGAGTGAATGATTTTACACTGTGACGATTCCAAAGAATCATAGCAGAATTAAACAAGGGGAAATTCAAATGGCTGATTTGAGTCTTATCTGTGTTCAGTCAAGTATTTAATGTACTTTATCTTTTACAGCCCTTTGATTGTTCCTTTAGTTTTTAAGAGCTCCAGAAATAAAAATATACACAAGAAAAGAAAACTATATTAAAATGCAATCTTACATTGCAGAGAATAATTACATTCCTAATGAAGATTACTGGTATATATGCTAGGAATGATTCCTACTAGCTGGGTGAGAAATATAGAGTCTAAATTTAAAAGTTTGTAAGGTACTATATTTTATATAAGATACTTCATGTTTCAGTATTCTTTTAAAAGTATATATTTTGGCTTAGATTTAAATGTAAAGGCTACTGCACAATAAACATCAGCTTTTACTGCTGTTCCTAACAGGGCAAGTTCAAAGAGAGGTGGATCTAGTCGTTGGCCCAAACAAAATGCCCACCTTTGAAGAGAAATGCAAGATGCCATACACTGAGGCGGTTCTGCACGAAGTTCTGAGGTTCTGTAACATAGTTCCTCTAGGCATTTTCCATGCAACTTCCAAAGATACTGTTGTGCGTGGTTATTCAATTCCTGAAGGCACCACAGTCATTACAAACCTCTACTCCGTTCACTTTGATGAAAAGTACTGGAGCAATCCAGAAGTGTTTTTTCCTGAGAGATTTTTGGACAGCAATGGGCAGTTTGTCAAGAAAGATGCATTTATTCCTTTTTCACTAGGTAAGAGTGCTTCCTTCCACTGTTCCTTTTCATAAATCCAGAGATGTATAACTTAGAGATGATGGCAATAAGGGGACAGAATGATGTCCTCAGTTCTGATGAAGAAGATTTTGAAGATATTCAGTATAATGTACTCTGTAGATAACAAATTTTAGCATAATATCTTTTATATAGGTGAGCTCATCATTATTTATAAACTAACAGAAGTACACCTTACAAAGTTATAATAATGGCCAGTTAATAATGACTGGAAGTAGATGTAATTAATAAAATAGTAGGGGGGAAAGGCTGAAATTAACAGTATAATTTTTTAAAGCATCTTCTGTCTAGATTGGTACTTGAACACAAGAAAAAGTAGCTAATAAATATATCTAAATATATTTGACAATTCGTTTCAGTGGCATTTGTGAGGTGAGAGCAACAAAATCTCTAAAATCTGTTTCTTAGTGTAAATTATCACTTATTCTTCTTACACAGTACTACCAGCAAGTTCATACAGCTCCTCTTAGAACACAGAAATCACCATTCTTATTCATAACAAGAGTGAAAATGCAACTGCAGATATTTATAATCTTTTTGAAACCTTCTTTTCAATCCAGGAAGAAGACATTGTCTTGGAGAACAACTAGCTCGAATGGAAATGTTCTTGTTTTTTACTTCATTACTACAACGATTTCACCTGCATTTCCCTCATGGAGTGATTCCAGACCTCAAACCAAGATTAGGAATGACATTACAACCACAGCCTTACCTCATCTGTGCAGAGAGACGGTGAAGAGAAAGGTCACGATTGTCAGGTGGAGCACAGTGCTCCAAGCTGCAGCTAAAGATCCACTTGGCCTTCTATTTCTAAACATGTTCATGCCAGAAAGGCAACTTAAAGGACTTGCAGATAAATTCTGGCTGTTTATGCACAATTAAATAGTTTCTTTTTACTTGGTTTTCACAAAAAAAGAATGGAACCAAAAGTGTGGAACACATCCTGTGTAAAACTGATGTTTTCACTACACAGGTCTATTTTGAATCTAACTTCTGATATGGTTTTTATATATTTAATTACTTAGCAAGCCATTTTACTTTGAGAGGATATTTTTATAAGCGTGGAGAGTGTGGTTCAAAATGTTTATCCATGGAAATCTCATTTACATTATTCTTTATAATTCTTCTTTAAGTTTTCATAGCTAAAAAGGTTTAAAAGATATCTGTTTAAATTTCTGTAACCAAGAATAAACTATCTTTTCCAGCCTTGACAGATTGTCTATTAAAGCATTTTAATCCTTCTTTCTCCTTGCTCTGTATTCCTAGGTGGTCATAATTTTCTAGTGAATCATGTAACTGAATTCACTTTCAGGATCTTTTATGACTTCCTTCTCATTTAGCAAAGGACAAAAAGTGTTCAATTATTGCCATAATCCTGACAATTACAGGAATCTTTTTTGCCATTATGTTGCATTTCCAGACACGTGTCCTCCATTGCCTCCCCACACGAAGCACTATGTAATGATTAATCTCTGCTTAAATAGTCTGAAAAAAAACCCAGTGTTTATGTTACCAGTCACATGTAACTGTACTATGAGCAGAGAAAATAACCTGCTCATCGTTCTGACCAGAAAAGAGAGTTTTTGGGGAGGGAGGTTGGGATAGGATGGAGAGAAACACCTTAAATGCATTTTAAGCACAAATATTAGGTGTAGGAGCTACTCTTGACTTCTGCCAGCTTCATCTTCTATTCTTGACAGCTTTGTGGTTATTGGTAGATAAGATTTGTGTCTGCAGACCCTACAGGAGAACCAGATACTCTAAATACTGCATGTTTTGTCCCTGCCATGTGGGGAGGGAGGGCCTCAGAACAGGGTTCAGAACAAAACACACACTGAGCAAGCTGCTATTTGAGGACAAGGCTGAGTGTTAAAACTCTGCTGTTACTCAAATAATGCCTCAACTTAAAGCTGCAGGAAAGTTGAAAGGCAGGAAAAGGTATTTTTCTGCTGACCCGACGTTTTCAGAAATACTTCCTTTCTTTTGAAACAGCAAAAGAGAAGAATCAGAGCTAATACCAGTTCACTTACATAACAGCCTATTGACTTCAGATGCAGCAGGTCCAGATTAATTTACTCATCTGAGTGTAGTCACACCTGCATGTCCCACAGCAAGCAGCTCAAACACTTATTCCTCATGCTCTGAAGAGGGTGGGGAAGCTACTCCACTTGCTGAATAATTAACTGCCTTTCCTAGAGAGGATTTAAAACTCAAGAGAGGAAGGATGGAAATCTGACTGCTGTGCACTGGGCACACCATGAAAACCATGAATAAACCACTCCTAAGACACTGGCAAACAGTCGGGTTTAGGAGTTATGACTGAGGCATTTCTGGATACCTGCATAAGTAGATGTTGGGTGCTTGTGAAATGCGAAAGTAAAACTTGTGGAATCTACTGAACTGGGTGCCTTCAGTATAAAGCAACATTGAGGAGTTCAAGCTACAGTTCTGTACTCATGTTAATTCTTTCTATACCTGACCCTGTGCTCTTAAATCAGACAGCCAGAGCTTTGTCAGTGTCTAGTCTTGCCTTCTTCTAGGTTGCAGGAACTCCATGCCATCCTTTGGTTAAAACATGATTCAAATGTTGCTACTTGAAGTGTGGGGAGGATTAAAAAACATCAAGAACAAGTTCTTGCGGGTGGCTATGCTCAAAATGCAGCTGGCCAGTTATAATTCCCTTTTGCTGAGGTATTTTGAGATCTAAGTCCTGACTAGTCTTTAATCCATTTAATGAGAACCATATTGATTATATGTCATTCTGGTTTCTAAATCAAAATGCCTTATAAAAGCCTCAGAATATCAATCCAAACTTTTACCATTATCTGCCAACTTACAGTCTCGTTTAAGTAATCAAATACATTTGACAAACTGTCTTTTCTATAAATCTTTATCAGTTTTAGTTATATCTGCCATTTCATCCTGTATCAACTTTTTTGTTATTTTCCCTCTTACTTAGAATTATCCTAGTCATCGAATTTAATAATTTGTAATACTGACATAAGAATATTTTCCAGTCCTCTGGAATTTCTCCACTGTATCAACATTCATTAGAAATGAATATCAATAGCCAGCCAGATGTTTGGAATTTCCTGGTGAGTTTTCAAAGGCTAAAATATCTAGCATAGATAGCAGCTGGCTGCTATTCAACACTGGTTTGGAAATAAAGGCTGATATATTAACCAGTATATCTTTTTCTTGTGTAGAATTTAAGGATGAGAAAAAAAGCATTAAACAGCAATTTTTCCTGTCTGGCCTTAAGTGTCCTAACATTTTGGACTAAAACAATGTGTCCAGATACTGATCAAGAGATTTCTTGACATTTAAGATATGACCCCTCATTTTTGCATATTAATGTAATTTATTGTGCTCTTTATTTTACCATTTTCCTAAGTTTTATTCCCCCCAGTATTTATAATACCTCTCATTTTTGTCTTTTGCAGAATGACCTTTTTGAATTCATGATGGTAGTTTAGAACTGGAAGCACTCTGACCTTGCAAGGAAAATTGCCACAGAACCAATAGTTCCTTCAGCTATGGGGATGTGTCACTGTATCGTGGGTAAAGAGAAATGTGGTGCCCAGGAGACACAGAGATCTTTAAAGAGAGCAAAGTGACTGTAATCCAGTATAATTTAGGTTATATAGAACCATGATCTGGCACCTAGCACTGAAAAAGGTAAGATACCATTTCATACACTCACATTACAATCCATTCATTTCACAGAGTATGTTTTTGACCCCCTGTGGGCCAGATCCAATATCAACAGAAAGGAGGTCTTTCCTTCTGGACTCTGGCCTTTTTTGGCATGTCCAAATATAAATGCATCTGTGTATGAGCCAATGACACAAAAAACAGGCATGGGATGAGGGACATCTCTATTAAAAGCTGTAATTCTGAAAGAGCTTGGGGTTCATGGTGGGTTGTTAGTTAAACATGAATTTTAACTGTTCAGCCAAAAGATCTTTTGTTTATGGAATACTGAATGAGGATAGAATCATAGAATCATTGAGCTTGGAAAATACCTTTAAGATCATTGAGTCCAACCATTGACAATTGTGGAAGCTATATAAGTATTTGGTGCTGGCACAAGCATTCCTTGAATACTGAGCCTTGTTCTGTTGTTTATAGCTGAAAGAGGATATATAAAAAAAAAAAAAAAAAAACCAACAAAACAAAACAATAGTGTTCCTATAAAGCCATAAAAATGAATAAGAATATGCTTATGCAATATATTCTGGATTATTACAGGGTACTTCTACTGACTTATAAATTGACCAAATAGTGTGTAATCATATCAGGGCAGCACCAAGTCCAAGCTAAGACGCTTCCACTTCAGACTTGGTGACCCACTGGCACTGTTATAAAGTTTTTGGATCACCTGGGTGACTGAGCATGATCCAGAATATACACCAGAATATCCACAGAAATGTACAGTACAATGTACTGGCTAGTGACACATTCAAGATAATTCATTTGCTTGGTTTACCAAACATGGGACTGTGACTTGAGTCCAAAAAGTTGATAAATGATCTCTTCAGTAAGTAGACAACAACATAAATAGAAGTCAAGATGAAATATCTTTAAACTAGGAATGAAGTGAATACTTTGAACACCTTCAAATGCAGAACCAGGTATACAGCTAGCAGTGACGATAGTTAATCCTGGATTGTTACCAAAACTTTAAAATTAGTTATTAGACCTTTCTTCTTCTGTGATCTGGTTCTAATTTGCATCCAATTAATGACATGATTTTACAGTAGTCACTCCTGTCTCAATCACCACTTTCTGAACTCCAAACCTCTGCTAACTATTCAAGTGCTAAAGCAGCCTGAGCTCATGCAGCAAGTAGGGCTTTTCATGATTTAGTATGTTGTTCTGATACACAGTTGGATTCTGAATCTCATTCCATTTCAGGCTGTCTGAATAGCGAAAATAACAACCAATCTGCATTATTTAGCCTGAATTAAGCCTAAGGGTTTGTGCAAGTAGCAGTAGATGAGGCAGATTATGTTGTCATAAGGTAGCACTTTCATAATAAAAGTAGCAATCTCAGAGAGAAACACAGTGAAAAATAGTCAAATCACTTAGAAAAAGCAGTGAAAATAAAATGTGATTTTTGCAACAGTGCACTGAATGGGAAAATATAAGGATTCAGGCTAAATGCAGGGTGGTAGGGGGAGGAAATCATACTGGTGAAGACAACAGAATTTACCTTTGATCGAGAGAGACGGAATGATGAATACACAAGATAACAAGCCAAGTGCAGGGGACTGTTCAATAAGAGTTTGAAAGGTCAGCCCTCAGTATAAATTGCTCTGTGAAGATACAGACATGCATTTTCATACCAGCTGCATGGCCAAGGTGTTTTTTTTGTACTGGGCCTCACAATTCAAACCCATCGTCTAATCAAGATCCAATCAAACTACCATTCTAGAAATATTATGCCTTATTCTGTCCTTTCATAACAATATAAATTGAGGATCAGCAGATTCTCCCATTTCTAGATTATCCCTTTAGGTATTTTTGAAGGCTGTCAACTACCTCGATGACATTAGAATTAGACAGAACCCATACCCAGAGTGGTCGTTCCTTCGGAAGGCTGCCAGGCTTTGGGAGACATTACGTTTGTTACATTCTTCTGAATAAGTAACATTCCAAATAGATTAAACCCATTAAAATAATGGAGCATATCAGGAATGTGCAATCTAATCCAATAGCTTACTATTACTGCAGCAGATGGCTGCTTGCCTAAAATTTTACATGTGATATAGACTGGCCTATACAATTTACCAGAAAGCAGGTTAAACTTACTGTTTGTTCTGCTGCTTTCTTCAAATTCTGACTTCCTTCTCTACACTCATTCTAAAACAAATTAAATCTTTTATGATTTTCAGAGGCTTGAAAAAAATGAAACATATTAAAAAGATAAACATATTAAAAAGATTAAAGTTCATTTGTTTGGATGTTTAACCCCATTAGGCCCATCCTTACCATCTAGACAACAGGAACCCCACTGTGTGCCCCATGGAGAGTTCCACCTTCACCAAAACAAGGTCTCATTGTTCAGGTTCTTCACTAATAAAGGTAATCCAGGTAGGATTTCATACCAGTAAGGAATGAAAGGTACATAACAGAATAACTGTGGATGAAACATTTTAAAGAATTCTAGTTATTCTCAGGTAATTAAGTTTCCCTTCTCCACATGCATCCCTATTTAAGGAGTCCAAATGCCATTTTGGTTCTCTTCAACTTGTACAATAAGCCCATTTAAAATAATAACGATGCTAAACATGCACCACAGCAGAATTTTTAAGCCTACTTTTTCCTGGAAAAAATGTAGGTGCTTATGACCCTTCTTGTGCCTATATAGCTTAGGAGGTTAATTTAATTGGGTTTCTTTGGACACATGAAAATTGTTTTTTAAAGCCTCTTCAAGGCATTTTCAGATTTTGTTCCATTTTATTTTACATTGTGTAAAGACATACCATTTCTCTCTCAAAGAATGTATGGTCTAAACTGCCACAGTATAGAGGAAAGTGCAACATACCAATATTGGATTTACTTAATCACAAACTGTAGGTATATTCTATAGAATATTCAAGTTCTTTAGGTCATTATGAATGCCATGATGACAAATTTGAAAAGAGACTGTAAGAATAATTCATTGCTGATGGGAACAAAACTTAGTGCTAAACACTACAAATTATCTAAAAATCCCCAATCACTTAAACTAATTCTTTTTGTAAGTATATGAATTACATCATCTTCAAAAGTGTCCAACACCTCCCAATGTCTTAAGTATGCACTTTCTTAAAATCTAGAAAGGCCCATATGGCTTGACAAATATTTAAAATATA